ACGAGACTGTGAATTTGGCAGTAAGGACTGACTCCCTTATGTTACCTCACTTCCTAATCAAGTGGAAAGTGCTTAATGCCAGCACCTAATAACAAAGGTATCAATAAGAAATTGTCTTAATTTCAACAGTAGAATCAAGCTTGCAAACTTACCATGATCTTTGGTTTAATGATAAAGTCCCTTTGCCCTCCAACCTGAATGTATTTCTTCATGAGACTGAAGTTATTAAAGCGGCAGATGAGCAGGCCACTGCTGTTTGTTCTCAAGTTAAAGTCAACATCTTCACAGAAATACCTAAATCATAATCACGAGAGGTTTCTTTGGCTACCTGTCACATCTCAACCATGATAATTACACACAGACAAATAGATGTGTGGCAGATGTTAAGAGACAGCCTCAAACAGAATCAACCTTGCCTTCTCAAAGTGCTGGCCCTCTTAACACTAGCCTGTGTGAAGCCCCAGATTTGGGAATTACAGCCATTAAATGAAGTAGGGGTGAGGTGACTTTGGTCCCAGACACTCCACAGGGCCTTAGGCATTCCTGAACCAAACTGGACTGCACATTCTATAGACCAAGACAGAAGTACATAGGTGCTATAAACAGGATGAAGCATCTGCCAAATTTAAAACAAGTGAAATAGCTAAAGAATATTCTGGTAGCTATAGGGCTGGGGGTTGACGTAACAGGGACTTTATGATCCCTGGCTTTTCTTCATTTGGCAGTCCCAGGTTTTCCAGGATATGGACATTCTTTATTTAGGAGGCAAGGCCAAGGTAAGCCTGCTCATTCCCATCTACTGGCTTTTCTCTACAGGATCCAGACCTCTGGTCTTACTAACATTTGGGGAAAGTGATTGCCTTCTGAGTTCTGAGAATGAATGAAAAATTAACCTTCAGTGGGTTTATGGGTCCACACACTGATTGGTTATTGATTCAACAGTGTTGATCCCCTGTTTTAGTTTTTGTTAAATAATGAGATTACCAAAATATGTTTTCTAAGCATTTTATATGGTAATACCTGTTAAGTAAAGGTTTGGGTCAGTTTGAGAGATGATGAAAGGACACTTTGGGGCTTGATTTCCCCACCTTTTTCCTTGTCCATATAAAGAGATTCTTAGTTTTCAATGAAAGAAACAGGAATAAAAAACATTTCAGAGGCTACAGCTGGACAGAGACAATGACTGGGATTACTTGCATCCAGGAGCCAGACTTACCTGTTGAAGTCATACTGCACATTCTGAGTCAAGTCTATGTTGAGGAGAATGAAGTCGTGCACGTGGCACCTGGAGAAGGGGGCCTTCAGATGCTGGGAAGTTAGCCTGCTGCTCCATTTCTGTATACCCAGGATTGCGTAGTGGATGATTTTTGGTGTCGCTTCAATGTGCTGTAAAACACTCTTCAAGGACACATTCTTACTGCAAACCCCTGCTTCCATGGGCTGGCTATAAAACGTAAAGTTAGTTTATGTAAGATATTAATAGATATTACTGAAGACAGGGTCACTTATGAAGGGCCAACACTACTGTACAGAATTAATATCTGTGAGATATAATTAGCTCATTTCCTTTCTATTAGCCTGGAATGGAGGAGGGTGTCAGGCCCAGTTTTCATGCTGCCCAACACTGCTAACTTTAGAAAACTGCCTCTGTGGGTGGGGTGTATCACTTTAAGTCTGAGAAAGAAATCCAGCTCCCGTTTCAAAGTGAATAATGAGCGGGGGTTACCAAAGCGAAGTAGCCAGAGGTCAGAAGTATATTTCTAGTTCTGGTAATTATGGTATAATAAAGGAATATTTGAGAACTTCACTGTCTTCAAATCCACAGTGGAACAAAGACACAAAATCACAATGTTTGAGTTGGAAGGGCCTAGAGATCTGGCTCAATTTTTCAATGAGAGTGTTTATTGACATTTTGGGGCCATTTTTTGTGTTGGACTTTTCTAGTTTTAGTATTCCCTGATTCTCATGAATCAGTCACCACTGCCTCAGGAGGAAAACCACTGATTTTAGCCCAGCCATAACTTTATTGGTGATAGAATTGAGAGAAGTGAAAGGAATTCATCCAGATAACATAGAGCTGGGGCTAAAAAGCAGGTTTCCTGATTTAGAAGCCAGTAGACTTTCTAAGTAAGCCATACTCTAAATAGACTTATAGATAGCCAAAGCCACGATGCAGAAATAGTCCAGGAATTTAATGGCATACTGAATGTCTAAATTTTAAAAAAGGGGGCTAGTGAAGGTGGTCTCATGGATGATCTTTCTGCTCTGGAAAGCTATTCCTCTCATTTACTTCCATGCATAACTGCAGCCAAGGAAAGGATCTTCTCAGTAGCATGTTTCATATCCCCTAGGACTCCTTGGGAAGTACCACTACCTGGTCTGCTCCTGAACACTGTGAATGTTCCACAGGACACATGAGTCGTCCATCACAACAATGAAAGGCCAGACACACTGTCGTTTAATTCCCAGTTCTTCCAGGCGGTTCCTCTCCAGTTCCAGGTTGTGATATGACAGCTCCTTAATGAGAAACCTGGCAGCACCTGGAAGGCAACAACCACAGCTGCACATCCTTCACTCAGGCTTGGCCAAAACGCCATAGAGAACTCACTCTCCACAGGCATGCCTGTTCAAATGGTGACTACTGTAGGCAGGGCCAACTAAATGTTCAGAGCAAACTTTAGCATAAGAGTCATGGAGGAAGTCTTTTTAAAATGCAGATTCCTGGAGCCTATCACCAGAGATTCACATTAGTAGGTCTGATGAGGGGACAGAAACCAGAGATGTCTTTGATAACACAGATGATTCATGAACTACACTTTGAGGAATACTGCAAGAATCCAGTTTCTCTTATAGGACAAAGGATGCCACATGGAGGAAACACTTATTACTGGTGAGTTCCTTAAAGCCATGAGAAGAGGCTCGCTTAGCCTCAGAAGCAGCCTCTCACATATCCTGCACCAGGGAACAGCCAGGGCCTGCAAATAGTGGGTATGCCACTTACACTAATGTGTCCCCCGCTTTAGATATCTTTAGGCAATTGGTAGCATTTTCTCTGAAGATGATTCTGGAAACTGGCATCCTTTCCCTAAAACTTTTTTTTTTGCAAGTGGCTGTGTGGTACAGTGAGTAATAGAAAAGACTAGAGCCAAGCTGCCTAGGTTTTAATCCTCATTCCACCACTTTCTAACTATAGCACTGAACAAATTAACTCCCCTGTACCTTGGCTTCTCCTATAAGGCAATGAAACATCTATTTTATCAAATTGTATGGTGCTCGGGATAGTGCCTAGCATGTGCTAAGTATTCAATGTATGTTAGCAATTAAGATGATTATCACCAGGCATTAGCCAAATCTTATGAGTGAGCCACTTTACAGTGAAAACAAAATGTAGATAATGAAATGAAGGGGCTAATAAAGCTATTAAGTCTATGGAGGAAGCAGGAAAACAGTTTGAATAGATCAAGGGAAATAGGATTTAGGAAAATATACCTTCCAAAAGCATGAATGTAACAGTTTGCATTCTCAACATAATAAGGATCATATATGAAAAGCCCACAGGTAACATCATACTCAGTGGTGAAAGACTAAAAGCTTTTCCTCTAAGATTAAGATGAGGACCTCCACTTCAGTTTAACATGGTCCTGGAAATCACAGCCAGCATGATTAGGCAGAAAGAAAAGGCATCCAAATCGGAAAGGAAGAAGTAAAAGTATCTTTGTTTGTAGGCAACATGATCTTGTATGTAGAAAACCCTAAAGATTACACACATACACAAAGCTACTAGATGTAATAAAGTGAGTCAGCAGATACAAAAACTCCCAAAAGTCAATTGTGTTTCTATAACAATAAAAGGGAAAAGAAGACGACAATTCCATTTACAGTAGTAACAAAAAGAGTAAGATTATTAGGAATAAATGTTTAATCAAGGAGGCAAAAAGACTTATACACTGAAAAGCATAAAACATTGCAGAAAGAAATGACGACGCAAATAAATGGAAAGATATCCTATTTTCATGGATTGGAATATGTAATATTGTTAAGATGTTAATATTACCCAAAGCAGCCTACTGATTTAATACAATCCCTATCAAAATCTCAATTTTTTTCAAAAATAGGAAAGTCCATCTTTAAATTTATATGGAATCTCAAGGGACCCTGAGTAGCCAATACAATTTTGAAAAAGAACAAAGTTGGAGGTCTCTTGGCTGATTTCAAATTTACTACAAAACTATGGTAAAGCAATGTGGTAGTGGCATAAAGACAGACATTTAGATAAATGGAATAAAAATACTGAGCCCAGCACTATACATAAGCCCAGCCTTGCATATATGGTCAAATGACTTTTGACAAAGGCACCAAGACCATTCAATGGGAAAAGAACAATCTCTTCAACAAATGGTGTTTGGGAAAGCTGGATATCCACATGCAAAAGAATGAAGTTGGACTCTTATCTTACACTATATAAAAAAATTAAAATGGGTCAAAGATTTAAATGCAAGAACCAAAACTATAAAACTCTTAATAGAAAAAGGGGAAACTTGATGATGTTGGATTTGGCAATGACTTCTTGGATGTGATACCAAAAATCACAGGCAACAAAAGAAAAAACAGAAAACAACTGTGCAAAAATTTGAAACTTCTGTGCAAAGGACACAACCATGAAAAGGCAACCTACAGATTGGGAGAAAAATATTTACAAACCATATATCTAATGAGAGGTTAATACCCAGAATATATAAAGAACAAGTCAACACCCCCAAAAATCAACCTGATTAAAAAAATGGGCAAAGCACTATGAATAGATTCTCCAAAGAAAATATACAAATAGCCAAAATGCACATGAAAAGATACATGACATCACTAATAATTAGAGAAATGCAAACCAAATCACAATAAGATCCACCTCACATCCATTAGGATGGCTACTATCAAAACAAAAAGTGTTGGTGAAGACATGGAAAAACTGGAACCATTTTGCACTGTTGGTAGGAATGTAAAATATACAGGCATTATGGACAATAATATACTAATTCCTCAAAAAATTAAAAATGGAATTATATGATTCAGCAATTTCACTTCTGGATATATCCAAAAGAACTGAAAACAGGATCTTGAAGAGAGATTTGTACACCCATGTTCATAGCAGCATTATTCACAGTAGCTGAAAGGTGGGGTGCAACCCAAGTGTCCATTGATGGATGAATGGGTAAGGAAAGTATGTAGATACACAATAGAATAGTATTCAGCCTTAAAAAGGAATTAATGGTACTGAGATTCAGTTTTGCCAGATGAACAGAGTTCTGGAGATTGGTTGCACAACCGTGAATATAATGAACACTGCTAATCTGTACACTTAAAAATGGCTGAGATGGTAAGTTTTATGTTATATGTTTCTTACCACAAGTAAAATATTTAAAAATAATTAGCATTTATTTCATTTGCATATATATTGGCTTCTCTCTCTCCAAATTTGCAAAACTGGCACTAAAGAAATTCAGGCAGATCTAGGATGAGGAAACTTTTTCACCTAAAGGTCAGTAAGGCACAAAAGAAGGTAATTTGAAGGTCATATTCATATAGACAAAGATTTTAGTTAGTTTGGGGATATGTGGTTTGGGGGAGGAGAAAAGACCAAATATATGTAAAAGTCTTAATTCATTTGATATGAAGTGATAAACATGGAGAATAAACCTGCATCAAAATAATAAACCAGTTTTTAAAAATACTTTAATCCCATATTAAGGCTAAGGTTTAAGGACGTGAAAAGGAATGGAAAGGAGAAAGACATGAAGAGACCTAAGAAGGAAAGGAGAGAGGAACAGTTCGAGGGAGAGACAAGTGGGAGGAGAAGGGCAAGTGAGAAGCTTCTCGGGCCTCATCTGCTGTTCACTCCAGCTCTGGGCTGCATGTTCTGACTTCCCTCTAAAAGTGTTGATTAGCAGCTCCTGATCCACAGCCCTTCTGGGCCTGCACTAGGTCAGATACCCACAGAAGCGGGTGAGAAAAACGATTAAGAACTACGATGGAGAAGTGGCCAGACAGTACTGCTCTAAACCATTGGTCCAGCTGGAGGTCTCCTGCCCGAGTCAGATAAATGAAGGCATTCTAGACCTCTCCAGTGCCTCCACAGCTCTGTCCACACTCAACAACATGTGCCCCTCCCCTTGGAGAAATCAACCCATTGCTCTTAAACCCTGTGAGGGAAAGCAGGGAAGATTTCTTCAGGCACTTTTAAGATGACTCAGCCACAATTCCCAGTTGTGCAGAACCCTCTAGAACTTGCCATGTGCCTTTAAGATGATTAGCAATGTCTTGGGGACCCCTCCAGATGCCTCCAGACCCGAGTGAACTATTACCTCTCCCGTCCTCAGACCATCCTCACTGTTACATTTCTGCTGCTGGTGTGCCCAGCCCAGGAACATCTACACTTCAAGCCCTTCCCACGGTCCTCAATATACCAAGTGACTCCTTTAGTGACTAGCACTCAGAGGTTAAAAGTTCTGCAAAACTGCAGATAAAGGAAAAATTAACATTAAAAGAGGAGGCAAAAGGCCTTTGGTCAGGAGGGCAGGACACTTTCCAGAGGCAGGGGGAACCTTTGAAAGTTTCACGCCCAGGGAATGAAGCTTGGTTTACCGTTCAGCACTTCTCCCTATCCCGGGGGTGGGGGTGGGGGTGGGGGTGCTTACCCACGCCTGCATTATTGAACGTGCCGGGAAGTACCAGCATGATGTGGTTGGGCCAGTACTTGCGATACAGCGGCATCTCGTATTCTTTGACCACCAGAAGATGCAGGTGGCTGATGCCCTCCATGGCGTGAAAGAGGTTTAGGAGTCCATGCTCGTGGCGGCCACTGGAAGGAGTGAAAATAGGGCTCTTGACCGCATTCAGATTCTGTTGAAAGAAAAAAAAACAAAAACCAGAGACCAAAAAGGGAAATTAAAACCCTTAGATTTGAGTAGCTTAGAGAACCTGATATAGTACCTGAGGCCTGTCAGTCCTTGTGTCCAGACACTTATCACCCACCTTGTCTGAAACCAGGGGCAGCCGCATGCTCTCCAGGTGTTTGCCCTGCTTGCTGAAGACAAAATGACTCTCTTTGGATTTGGGAATGATGAAATAGAGCTGCACCTCTTCTCCCAGCATAGAGGAAGAGAACGTGAATGCGTGAAGGGTGGAGTCAGACATCTACATTTGCCAAGAAAGAAAAGGAATGTAAGCTCACAGGTGGCAGACTTTAAGGCTGCTTGTTAAGGCTGTTATTGAGAGAAGCAGACTTCACCTGCCACAGGCCCTGGCTGTGTGCAGCATGGAAAGGGCTGGAAAGGCAAACACTTCACCTTTTAGTTGCTGCCGCTGACGTGAGTGCCAAGCACCTTGCCCCTACACGGCCTCTCCAGGGGTGCCTCGGCACTGTCTGCAGTCCTCATGTTCTTAGAACCACTACTGCTCAGTTTTATGCAAAGGTTAAATACACCTATGCAAGTCTTGCAATAAAAACTTTCCCAAAGGTGCCCAGTTCTAGGGGGAAAACACTTCTCTGTGGGTCAGGTCAAATGAGTATTTTTCTAAGTACAATATCGGGACTGGTATCATTAAAAATGCCTCTGTGGCCCCGTCTTTCCTGGCTATGGTGGAAGCTGAAGAGGTTGGAACAGTCCTTTAGTCTAGAAGTCTGGCTTCCAGGAGAAACCATTTGACTCACTGAAGCCAAATATAAATCTAACCTATTTTTTAAGCTGCGGCAAAGTTCACGTGCTCTCTCAGTAACCCATCGCAGTGAATCATCACATGAAGGCCTTCACGTGCTTTACAATTCTGACAGTATTTGGCTTAATGAAGGATAGCATCGATTTTGCAGCAGCAACTAGAATCCAGGTAGGTCTCCCCAAAGTTTTCTCCTAAATACTACATTTCATAGAAAAACAATATTGTAATTCTTCTCTTAAATTCTAGTTCATTCTGCCTCACAAGTGTGGGGATATATTATTTAAGCGAGTACTGTAATCACATAGAACCTACATAAATAGAGGGTTTTAATAAAGAAAATTTCTAAAAACCTATGATTTTATAGATCAGGGGACCTGAATCTTCTATATTCTGTAATGCATAGTGGGCTTATTTCAAACTAGCTCACCAAAAGTTTTCACTGACACCAAGTACTCAAGTGAGACCACAAAGGTAAATTGTATTAGAAGGGCAGAGTGATCAATCCAGTTTTGCAGTATGTATCCCTTCTAGTTCCCTGTGGGGAAAAGGTGAAGACCTGGTCCTTGACAGCAGAAGCAAGTTTGGGGACATCCAACAGCATATCCTAGAGGAAGGAATAGCTGTTCTAGGGGTTCTGAGCCAAGTAATAAAAATCAAGCGGCCCGGCCAGGCATGGCTCAGCGGTTGAGCATCGACCTAGGATCCAGGCTATCAGGGTTTGATTCCCAGTCAGAGCACATGCCCAGTTGCAGGCTCAAACCCCAGTCGGGGGCGTGGAGGAGGCAGCTGATCAATGACTCATCATTGATGTTTCTGTCTCTCTCCCCCTCTCCTTTCCTCTCTCTGAAATCAATAAAGATAAAAAACAAAAACAAAAAACTTCATTGTGAAGCCTGGGACTGGCTCTTTCTCCTTAAAAAAAAAAAAAAAAAAATCAAAAAAAATCAAGCAGATAAAGTAGGGGAAAGCAATACAGAGCTTATCCCCCCAACAGGCACTGGATGCTACTCTCAATTGCTACCTTTCCCACCATTTGTGCTTAAAGAAAGATGTTCTGGCAGAAAACAAGCCAAATACTATGGGGTACTGGCTCACCTTCTGTGTTCCCACCTTTCAGTTCTTTCTAAATAAAAGAGCAAACACTGACTATTCTGTATGCCTAGTGGTCAAAACCATCACACGCTAGAGTAAGGATATGCCCAGGTTGGTGCAAATCAATAAACTTGTTTACAGCTTAAAGGGCACACCCTAAGAATTTGTTAGATAATAGCACCATTTTCATCAATCCAAAAGGGATTTCACTAACTGCACCATAATACACAGTTTTTTCAGGGTCAGTTTTTTTCATGGTCTCAGACACATGTAAACATTTTGATGAAGTGACTTAAGACACTAAAACTGTTTCTCTCTCTTACCACCCCCCAATCCTAAAAAGCTCAAAGTAATTTTGTTTCATGCATCTTGCTCACAAAGAGTGGCTCCATTTCATAAATAAGCTATCCTTTGACTAGGGACTGAAACGGGGAGTCGTATTTGTCATCCCTCATACACAAAATCACGTTGGGTAACAGAGGCAATGGCACAGGGCTGCACCTGGGAGGCGGAGGTGAAGTCCATGTACTGGTGGCACTGCTCGCAGTGGTGGAAGGTATTGTAGGCCGCGTATTTGGTCAGCATCATAGACACAGTTTCTCGTTTCCTGGGCTCTTCATTTTTGGAGTCCTTTATTGCTTCTGTGTATAAAGGGGCAGAAAACCTTCCCATGATATGCATGAAGCCCCTGTGCCTGCGAGAAAGCCCCCAACTCCCTGAAAGGGGTTTTCCAAGCATTCTATCGTTTATGCTCTGAGAGGTAGGTATGAAAATTAAAAGGTGATATGTATGTGTATGAAAAGAAAAGCAGAGAGGAGAATTAAGTTGCTCTCAAAGATTAAACTGCCCCAGGGCTCCTGCCTGATTTAGGTTCCCCTTGACCTTCAGAGGAGATAAGCCTGGCTCCGCTTGCACTGACCTTGTTTGATCCCTGCTAACTTCTCAGTGTATACCAGGCTCATCAGACTGTACTTGGGATCATGCACGCTGATGTCAAAGGACATTTTACTGAAGCTCTCGATGTCAGGCCAGGGCTCTCCCTCGGACTGGCTCACTCCGCTGCTTTCGCTGTGATCTAGGACAAGAAAGAAAATGTGCAGAGCAGGCAGATGGCCCAGCCTCCCTCCCAAGTGTCAGGGACAGAATGTTTTACAAAATATAAAGCTCAGATGGGTGGACAAAGGCACTTCTGGAAAATGAGCTCCCATGTCCCAAGGTGGAGGGAACCGGAACTGTCTCTTCATACCCATGCTGGGAGGGACGCTTGCCCAGACTGGCCCCCAGCATTAGCCTCTACACACCTACTCCACAAACTCCCACGTCTATGAGATCAACTAGTCTCCCACCCGAGCTCTTCAAATTGCCTTAAAAGCTTGTTTAATTTTGGATGATCTAAGTTCTTAGAGTTTTAGTTGTGGGGCTTTCAGACACTGACAGCCTATGAGACTTTAGGGATGCGCTGAGCAAGGTTCCCAATGTTTGCTTCATATCAGAATCATGGGGAAGCTGTAAAAATCCCTGTGCTTGGGCTACACACCCTCCCAACTCCTTTATTACCAGGCACCTGTTAGGGGGCTTAAAGCTCCTTACTCAGTTATGTAGTCAAGGTTGAGAGCCAGTAGCCCTGGGTGTGAATTCAGATTCTGCCCCTTACTACTCACACCTGCAGGCACCGACCTTAACTCTCAGGGTTCCCTGATTGCTGTAAGGGTTCCACATGGTGTGTTTAAAGTGCTGATTCTGGCAGGCACATCGTGGGTATGCAACAGATGATATTTATTATTATTAACATCTGTAAAAAAGCTTGACAACTTTCAAAAGGAGAAAGGAAGAAACTTTAAAAAAGCCGACAGATTAGAAGTACAGCTCTTATCTTTTTAACACAATACTATTTATATCCCTGAGCTGACGTTTGCATTTTATTTAAAATCTAAAGCTTATTCTAGTTTTTTAAAAAAGGTGTCACTGTGCCTCTCCAGAGCACCATCACATTCATCACACTGAATTGAGGGAGAAGGAATGAAGCCAAACTACGAAGGCCAGGCTTGCGGGTCACGGGCTTTGTAGACTGTCCCACAGCTCATAGCACAGATTCGGGGTTTGAGGAGAAAATTAAAGGTGCCACGGGGCCTTGTGGGAAAGTTGGTGGGATGGAGGGTCCCTCACACCTGGTCTGCTTGACTATGCCTTTGCCCTCTTGGTCCCAGCCCCCTCTAGGCGGACAAGGGTATTTTGAGGCCAACAGAGAGCTCTAGGTCTCTTCTGTGGTGGGCCTGGTGCAGCTCAGTTGGGGACACAAACAAGGAGCTGCTGGTGGGAAGACGAGACTGTGTGTGTGTGTGTGTCTGGAATCATGCATGTGAGCTGGTAAGGAATGGGGCCAAAGCGATGTAAGAAGTGGTTCAATATGGCTGATTTTACCTAGTCTCGCTCTGGACTAAACTAGTCCCTTGGGCTTGTCACAGAACAGGTCAACTATTTAGGAAAAGGAAGTGAGGGAAGATCTCCAAGGCTAATCTGATAGAAGACGCCAAGGCCTCTCCCTTTTTCTGGCTTGAGCAGAACTTCTACCTGATTACCTCTACTAACCTCCAGTGCTCCCCCCTCCAACCCCGTTTCCCTCCAGCACAGTCAATTGTTCTGAGATTCGAAACCACAGATTTGAGGCCACGCTGTCCTCAGCCAGAGACCGTGCTGGCTGACCCCTGCTCACACCCACTTTCTGGCCACGCAGGGTGGGGCTGTCCTACAGCTGACAGCTGGGGAAGGGCGCACAGGATGGGGAGGGCTGGGAATGATCTTACTGAAAACCAGCCCCACAGCCTTGTTAGGCACTAGCCCCTGCAAGTCACTGCAAATGTGAAGGGGTTTGTTTATGGCTCAAGGTTCTGTTCTGCACATAGAAGTTTTCATTTCATGAGAGTAATTAATCCATGTACCTTCACTCAGAGCCTGTGGTTAACATAGAAAATATACTGACTCACCAGCAAAGGCCTAGTATCCAGAATATAAAACGTGCTCCATTAAGCACAGCACCACAATTGAATTTTAAACCTGAATGATTTAACCACCTAAGCAATTAATCAGCCAAACAGGGCTTCATAAAACGCCTTTTTGCCCAGCGTCTGCCTGCACCTTGAGAGGGGGAGGCCAAAAGATGGAGACGACTCCACTCCTCGCCACAAGAGCCACAGTTTATTTATACCCACTTGCTGGCAGGTTCCCTTTAACCTCACAGGATCCCTGCTCACCGGGTCTAGGAGAAACCCCAGAAGGCAAAGAAAACTCTGTTTTGGTGCTAATACCCCACGTCTCACACCTGCCCGCCGGCTCGGAGCGCACCTGTGTTGATCTCGCCCTCGTCATACACGTCCACCTCCAGGAGCCTGATGAGCATGCGGAAGAGGATCCTAAGGAACTGCAGATAGGAGCCCGTCTTCCCCACCTGGTGGAAACAGTTTTAATCGGGGGGGAGGGAAGGAAAAGAGATTTCATACTTGGGCTCCTCCGTGCGTCCTGCTCAGAGAGCCCTGAGGGAGGTCCTCGCTGCTCTGGGTCACACTCCCCCGAGAGCTTCCCCGGCTCCTTTCCTTCTTGGGGACCCCAGCCCCGGCCTACCTGGGGGGGCCCGGTCAGCAGCAGCCGTCGGGGGTGGCAGGCCCGGGCGCCGGAGCCGGGGTCGGGCTGGTTGCTGTGGTCGGCGTGGTGCTGCCGAGCCGAGGTCCACTGCCTGTAGTAGAGCGACTGCTCCTCGCTGCTCATGTCCCTGTGCAGGAGCGGCCGCAGGGAGCTCACCCAGGCCACGTCGGCGTGGGGCAGCAGGGAAGAGGAGGCGGGCAGCTTGCCCCCCCTCTGGGAGCCCAGGAGGCTGTAGGCCGCTTTGGATAGGATCACTGTTGGGGGGAGGGCAGTGTGCAGACCCCTGCAACCTTGGACAGCCCCGCCGGGCCACGCGAGGGCCCGGGGACCTGAGGAGGAGGAGGAGGAGGACGAAGGCTTGGAGGTGGTGCTGCTCGCCATCTGGGGGCCCAGGGAATCACACTCCTGCTTCAGGGTCTCCCCAGCTCCCGCTGTGCCTGCGGAGACCCCTTCCTCCAGCCCCCCACTGTTGGCTGGGCTCTGGAAGCTGGGGGTCAGGGGCTGCTTCTGGGACTTGTCCGCGGTGCTGGAAGAGCTCACCCCATTCTCCATGATGGAGCCTGAAACAGGACGGACAGAGCCCACCCTGTACCCACCAGGTCACCGATGCTGAGGTGTGCTCCCCGGGCTCCTGGCACCTCTGGGAAGAAGGGAAGGGCCAGGAAGCCAGGCTCTGTGCACCAGCTCCAGAAACTATGCCAGAAATCCTCCCCTTGCCCTCCCTCCACATGCTTCTCCCCGATTCCCTGCCCTGGCTCAGGGTGGGATTGGCCAACGGGAGACACCAGCCGGAAGCCGGTTATGTATTCCCCGGCTCTCCCCCTGCAGGGTCTCCCCTGCAGGGTTTCTCTGAGGGCTGTGGCCATGTCACGCTGGCTCCTCTGGCTTCTTCAGGCCCAGCGGTGGTCAGGGCACCACATCTTTGTAAATAGTCCCATTATTAAACTTTCCTCAATTACCTCGTTTGGATATGCCATCTGATTCATTCCAGAACCCTGACCACTGCAGGCTCCACATTCAAGTCCTGCTCCAGTGGCACTCACCATCTTCTGGGGTCTGAGGACCTCCCGCTCCTGGCTGTGGACAACCTCCCAGGCGTCGGCCACGTCCATGGAGGCCCACACCAGCGTGGGGAGTGTCTCCGTGCCAAGGATGATGGAAGACATGATCTCCCAGTGAGGTGCTGCTCTCACCCAGAGATCCCCACACATTTGGCCAATTCACTGCAAACGTGTTTTCCCCTTAATAAGGCAGCCACTCTTTGGTTTGAGGACAAACCCAAAGCTCATTACATTGAGGACCGAAGGCCCTCTCTGTGCTCAGATCGGTGCTTCCCAGGCATGTTGGTCAAACCCCACCCTGGGGAGATTCTAGATAAACAGCCAGTAACTGGAGGTTATTGAAACCAAGTCACTCCACTTGCTCATCTGACTTCTGCGTCTTTCCATCTTGTATGAGAACGTGCCTTTCTCTCATGGCCCGGCCTTCAGAGTCCACGTGCCTGTGCACTTCGCGCAGTGAGCCTTCCTGAGGACCCTCGGTGTCCGCCCGAGGCTCAGGGACGTGTGCTCAGTGTTGTGCGCACAGCCTGCACGTTAGGTTGTCCTTGAAGGGAGGGAAACTAAATAGCGGAAGGCAAACCATTACCTTTGTGGAGTGAATCAGAGCAAGGCCAAGACTATGTGAGCCTTGTGGGATGGCTCCGGCAGCCAGGGAAAGGAGGGGCCTGATTAAAGAGCCACAGGAAGGAAGACGAAGTCCCCTGTTCCTCACCTCTCCCTCACTGATGCTGGTTTCCCAAAGCTCTAGAAGTGACATCTGTCCTCCCTCTGTTACCCTTTCCTACCCTCCGAACTTCTCACCCTTATTTTGAGGTGGTCTCAGAAGGAACCTGGGGAGCCTGGAGTGGGGGGAGGGGAGGTACAGCCCTGGTCCCTGCCTGTGGGGAGCAGCTGGGCCCACACAGTGGGACAGTCCTCATGCTCTTCCAGGCTGAGGGCTCACCATCGAAAGCCAGAAAATCCCACAGATAGTGGTCTCTTCAGTTTCCACAAGGAGCCATCTAACAAGGGCAGACAGGATGAACAGAAAGATGTGTTGCTTTCAGACATGGAAAGGTGTGTGTGTGTGTGTCATAGTGACAGAAGACGGGAAACTGGAACAGAAGGAACATGGTTGGTGGTTACCTCTCATAGGGGCTTTTCACTTCTTCTCTCTTCTCTACACTTTGTTACATGCTCCAAGTTTTCTATGTTAAGTTTTACTACTTTCATAGAAACAAATGGAAATACTGCTGCATTTGCTGTAATACAATTTATCAGAAGAAAATGCACGTGGACACCGTCATAGGCCAAGTAGTAATGCTGAAGAGGGGCTGGCAGGCTGCATGGTGGACCATCAGTCGGCCAGTGGCTCCACAGCAGCCTTCAGGATACAAGCACTTGTCACTAAGTACTTAGAAAAGTCATTCCCCTATTCGTTCGTTCATTCGTTCGTTCATTCATTCATTCATTCATTCATTCATTCATTCAAACAAACACTTTCTGCCAGCCTAAGCCAACTAACACAAACTTCCAGCTTCAGGATCTGGAAGGAAAAGAGGGCCTCTGTGCATCAGATGAATAATATCCACAAGATAACTGGGGCAGAAGAGACTAGGGAAATGTGCAGACTAAGGTAGACAACACTTATTCACTCTATTTTAGCCTATTACCAAGCTCTCCATTAAATGTTTACCCAGAGAAGTATTTTGTGGCTGTTCAACAGTCATGCTTTCTATGTATCTCTCCCAGGGCTCTGAGGTCTGGATGGGACGCCTGAGTCACCAGAGGCTGCTCTGAAAGCCTTGAGGGGTGTCAGTAGATGCCTCTGCCTTCCATACGCCCACCCACCTCCTCACTCCTGTCCCTCATCCCTGGAAAGAGAAAGGGGAGTACTGACCTGAGGTTCCAGTGACGGCACTGCTGTTGCTCTGGGGCCTCTCCAGATCGATCAGCAGCTCATCAGAGTCATTCTCGCTCACGGTGGCTCTCTCCTGCTCCTTCCCACTAAGGTCCAGGGCAACCGTGGACCCCCGGATGACCTCTTTTGAGACATAGCAGCACGCCAGGCCCACCTCCTGCTCCAGGGCCGTGCGAGTTAAATAGCTTGAATCAATTAACCGGAGGTCACAGTACTTCAAAGATCTGCACAAAAGCAATGATGTTTTTGGTGAGTCCATCTGGCCATGCATGCAGTGTTGGTGTATGCCCCGATGGCTGGATGCATCCCAGCAGGTAAAGTCATGGGCTTCAGTGCCAGGTCGTCCTTGTTTTAAACCTCAGCTCTGTCACCTCCTCGCTTGTCCTAGTCACTTCATTTTATCCAAGTGTAAAACGGAGTAACAGTGCCTGGCTAATACGATTATTGTAAGGAACGAATGTCAGGACACATGTAAGGCATTTACGGCAATACCTGGCACAGTAAACATTCAAGTAATGCTATTATTATTGTTGTTGCCTTCCAATCTGTAGGCCTTAGGTCCTTGAAGGGGCTGGGGAAAGCAGATTAAGAGACTTCATAAAAAAAAAAAAAAAAAATCCTGGTTTTGGTGGATGCTTTTGCTCTCTGCCCTGCTTTAATGAACAAACATTTCTCAACTGTGGCTATCTTCCATTCCCACAATTGCTAGGTGATCTCTGGAAAGTCAAAAGAAGGAATCAAGGAAGGCTATATTTCTTATATCCCTGAGAAAAAATTCTCTCCTCACTTGCCAAATGAATGAGATCAAGCATTCGCCAAGTTTTAACCATCAGCTCAGCTGGGAAACTAATAAAAAATGAGAATTATTCACATTGTACCTGGGAAAGGTTTCTCCAAGAGGGTCTTTGCCAGTTAATATCACAATACAAGGCAGACCTTCTAAATCTTGGTATGTCCGAGGGATCCATTCTTCCGGTTCATTTCCTCTCCAGGTCTGTAGAAAGGGACCCATGTGATAAAATTAAAACTCCTTATTTAAGTTTCTACCTTTTTAACAATTTCTAGGTCCAGATTTTTTTTATACACATTTGTGTTTCCAAATGACTTCCAGTAAGTGTGTGTGTACATATTTTAATTGCTACTGAAAAGCACACATAAAACATTCTAGAAGAATGTGGCCTTTAGTTTTATCTCAATAGGACAAAGCAGGTGATCTTGGTATACTTCATGCATTAGCCACACATGTCAGAAAAACCATGTGAAATATCCCACAAACCTTACAAAAAAACCTTGTCAAAAGACCGGACTCGAGGCTCTAAACATACATTCTTCATATAATAAACAGATTCTTGGGGCTGACTGAAAAACACAGTTTCAGATGTGAATGACTAATAAGAGAATCTCAATGAAACTCCATGAAAATAGACATTTTCACCAAGAAAATAATGAAGCTAGCCACCCCTGATGTTTATTTTTCTTCTTTCTCCCTTTATTGATGTTCAAAATAACTGACAAGTAATAACTGGCTTATGGCCCCAAAAAGTCTCAAGAAGGCTAAAAATAGAACCAAACCTGGGCCAAGACAAAAACCTGTCCCTTCCTTAGAAAAGTGATGCAATTAGCTCATAACTTCACAAAGGCTCTATTAAGCATCAACTTCTCATACATATTAACACACATGTACATATACACACAGACGTTTATCTTTAATGAATGGAACATCAATCTTAAAAAAATATATCAATGAAATGGAAAAAAAAATCTCACCAATTTGAAAGATGTTAAAAAGTGAAAAGATCTTACAGATTCTTCTAATTTAGAGCAGAAAAAATAGACTACCTCTTAAGTAGACAAGGTGGCTTCTACTTTTTATAAAGTATGTAGCACCTAATTATGCTTCCTATCAGCTTCCTAGCATGAGTTATCATAAGAAATGAACTGACGCTTCTGATAATGCTTTGGGGAATCAGGGCTAAGAAGTGAGGTATTAAGCAATGCATGCAATTTAATTTTAAAATAGACTGGTACTTCCTTTGCTAAACACAACATGAGATAAAAAGAAACCTAACAGCAAGAAATAATCTGATAGGGTTTGATGAATAATTTGTGGATGTCTAGAAATAAATGTACTAACAATCATTCAAATAAAATGTATATAATTTGTAAAACTGGAAGAATTGTAACCTTGTTGCCATATAGTTACATACTAAGGGGAAATCAGTGGATCTACATGACTGTTCACAAGTTAGAGAGACTTTTCATGTCTTAGGAAAGTCAATCTATCAAAAAGATATTTTGAAAAATATTAGATGAAAGTTCTCTACAAAAATTCAGTTTTTCATACATTTTCATATGAAAGGGAAACATGGCTTTACCTGATTTAAAGCAAACAATTCTGGAAACAGGCATCATTTTACTTAACAGTTGTCACATTGGACTCATGATTTCCCTAACACTGGGGCTCTCCCTGAATGTATTTTATCTCCCAGAAATCACCCACAGGCCATGGTTCCACCAAGAATAACGAGGTTGGGCTACAATGATGGGATAACAGGTGTTATGTTTTACTACAAAAGATTTATTTTCAAAAGGTTATTAAACAAATCTTGCTTTTACTCTTGACCAGTCAGAGCTAGCCAAACTACCACAAAATGCTTTTCTGTCACTTTGCTACTGCTGATAAATGATGGCAGAATGTCTTCGATGGACTGACCACACCCAGGATGATGTCACTGCAGAGGCATTTAAGACTACACAAAAGAATGGGTGAGCACTGAGTTCAAGGAAAATCAGAGCTCAAGGCCAAGGAAATCTGATAAACGCTTCATGCGCAGAAGGTTTCTGGAGGAACTGATTTAGATCTAAACCTCGTATCCTTCCAAAGTGCTTGTCATCATTTCTAAGTTAACCACAACACATAAAGGATCATTAGAGGGAATCACAAAATGAAGCCCATCTAACAGAAAAGGCATTGGATTCTACCTAAGGCTAGAGATGAAAGGCACAGCCATGCCGTCCCCACATGGTAAAGGAGATTGGTAACTGAGAAATCAACAGGCGAAGCAGAGACCACCTGGCAAGCGGCAGTCTTGCCTAGGACATGACCATTTCAACGGGATTTTATATTTTCACTGCCACACAAATAGAGTTTTAACAGGATGGATTAATGTGATCCAGGGGTTTTGAAAATATATAAAATCTCTTTCGTGTGGTTGGTGCCTGGCAGCTACTCATACAAATTGAGATGTAATGGCTTTGAGACCCCCCTGTGTGTGTGGATGGCAGCTCTCACAACAGCAGCTGCACAGACCAATCTCCCTCTAAAAGCCCTGCTGGTGATTCTGACGTGCTGACAGCCACGTTCAGAGCCTCGGGTCTGGATTGTGGCTTTCCAACCATGGCCCAGAGGGGCAAATTACTAGGACCCGCTGATTTATACTGACTTAGTAATTGGCACTTTTGAAAGGTCTGAACAAATGACCTAAGACTCTATTAATAGCTACACTTATCATTGTCAACTGAGACCCAGCTAAGACCCTGCAGCCTCACATCCTTTAAAACCACCTCCCAGCAACAGGTGTGGGACTTCACAGAGCAGTGCCGATGACTCGCCTTCCCACATTTTTCATCATTAGCACTACTCATATTGTCTCAGGACCTATGTTTCAGTGAGTTATACTGTAAGAAGAGTGTAGTCATCCTAGGAATTCTGCCGTAATGTGGTCCACGACTATAATTTAAAATGGTGATTATATATATATGAAATAGAAATGTTACAATTTCCACTAAACATAGGAGTTTCTATTTTTAGATTTATTTGTTCTTGCCCCTCATCAAGCTAATACAAGATATTTTGTTTGCATTTTGGATTATTTATTTTGGGTTGAAGAAGGTTTATGTTTGCAGGATGCTTTGCAAACATTAAATAATGATCCCGAGATTAGAGCCCTCAGAAATCCCACAGTCCAACTCTCATTTGCCGATGGGAAACTGTAGCCCAGGGTGAACATGTAAATCCCCCAGGATGATGTGATTCTTTTCATAAGATGTGTGTGCCAATGCAGATTTCTGTAAACTCAATTTAATTCCATAGTTAGTATGCAGGGTGCAGACACCATGTTGGTCTAAGTCAGACGTACAATACCTAGCTCAGTGCCAAACCCATCTGTATGTAGGTATTTTATTAAGTGCTTTTAAATGGCCAGGAAACTCTGGATTATGAAAGTTCCCAGAAAAACCTGAGCAGGGCATAAGGTGGGGAGTTAGTTGATTTAGGAATTCTCCCCCGCTCCCCATGCCTAACAGCAGGTGCTTAGGAAAAGCAGGCATCCCCTGGCCGTGCAGAGGGAGCAGGCTTGCTCATGCACCAAGTCCCTGTGCAGGATGCTCGGAGAGTCTCACTCCAGCCCAAGCTTTGGGACTGAGGGTCAAAGCAAGTTCAAAGATACCACAAACTGTTGAAGAATCCACATGCAAGAGGGCAGGGAATAGTTCTACATGAGTACTGAAGATAAAACAGAATACTTTACCGACTCTAGCATGAGCTGACAGGCTAGATGGACAGAAAAGAATTAGTGAATTGATGATATTTATTTAAAGGCGTACCCCACAGAGGCGGGAGAGAACAACTTACCTTTTCATTTCTGAGAAAACAGATGGCCGTGAGCTAGATGCATCTCGAACAAGGTCAATAAACATGGGGTCAAATTGGGTCATCTCATTTTTGCACCTGCAGTTGGAGAGCATGGAAGACCAACTGCATGCACATGCTAGAAAGGGGCGGGGCTTGACAGAATCTTAATACACTAGGTTCCAATTAGGAAAGTGAACATATCCTTTAGTTGAGCCTTAACACTGTCATGAAGAGCAGACTGACACGTGCAAAACCCTGTTAAACCCAGGCCTCTGAGCCACCACCTACATGGGATTCCTAGAAAACAGAAACAAACGGAATTTCGAAGGAGAAATGTCTGTCCAGTGCTAACCTTTAATCGCGCCACAAAGTGAGTTGCAACACTGACTTCAGAGGCAGGGTTCCCAAGGATGATCTCAAAGCGGTACTGCAGCCCCAGCTTGTCTCGCACCTCCTGCAGCCGCTCCTTGGCTAACATCGCCAGCTGCACAGAAGGCACCCGGATAATGAGCATGTGTCCCCTCCCACTTTTGGTTTTTCCCGGGGAGCTGATGAGGTCATCCATAATGCTGAGCGTCTCTGGCGTGCTGTGGTCTCGGAGGGATGCCATGGTGGTGAGAGCCATCAGAGCCTCCGAGTACTGCTGGATGAGAAGATAGCAGCGGACGACCATGCTGTGCAGCCTGGGGTACCTTCAACAGAACACAGGGAGGTAGCACTTGGCCGCAGGACCGGCTGGGACAGTAAGATCTGTGTGGCCAAACGCAGATCGGCCATGGTGGGAAGGGGTTAGTGATCAGTCAGTGGAGGGCTTAGCTCTAGAATGACCTTGGAGCCCACATCTCTAGATGGAAAAGTTGAGATTCCAACGCTTTTGAGTCAGAGCCTGTTAAGATAGGCAGGTAAGTTATAGAGGCTTAAGGATGGTCTAGCCAGCCCAGCTTCTCTGGGTGTGGTCTGTGCTCCAGCAGCAGCACCACCTGGGATTGTTAGAAATGCCAAGTCTGCCACCCCAGATGATGTACTGAATCAGAATCTGCATCTTGACAAGATCCCCAGGTGATATGTATGCACATTAAATTTTGAGAAGCACTGGCCTAGTCAGGCTAATTGTCATAATGGATTATCCCTGAATCCTAACCTCTTGCGGGTAGCACTGAGTTAGAATGGCGGCATGTTGTCAGCTTATTTCTGATACTTATGATTGCTCTGAAGGGAACTGAGGCTTTAATATCATGTCTGTAGCATATCAGACACAAAAAGAGTAATTATTATTACTAATTTGTGGCTAGCCCCACAGATAGCAGTAACTAACTGTATATTCCCATGAACTGCCTTAGTGCTGGAGAAAACTTGCAGCTAACTGGAGAAACAGCACCCCCTAGTGGTGGCCTCCTATCACCTGAGCCCTGCTCAGTAAAGGGAGTCTGGGAAGGAGCAGGGAGGGCTGTGTCCTGGTTTCCATCAAAAGCCCTTTGATATACCACTCCCATCCCCACCCCCACCCCACCTCCTGCCTGGACTGCCAGGTGAGAGGGTCATTTTGTTCAAATTGGCAGTTCTTTCAGGTACAGAGCAGGCAGAAAATAAATCTCTCATTTATGTGCTATTCCTTAGAAAGCCAGGTCTGCTGATAAAATGAGTATAAATGGGCAAAGAGGACCCACTTGCAGGCATGAAGAGGTGCTGGTCAAGGAAGTAGGTGCTGGCAAAATGAGGATGAGTCTGTGAACTTTCTGGTTGCCAGCTGGTAGCACATGTAGCTGCCTAGCAGCTGGGTAGGCCAATGAAGGATTTTACCCTTGTCCCACTTTATAATTCTATTTAAAGTAAAGCAAGTGGTTCACTGGCCTTGCACAGAAAAGCCCAGGGTCAAATACCAACTAGGGTGATCATATGAATTGTGTGGTTTTGAAGTACTTTAGAGTTGGAAAGGACCACAGATGCCCTGGGCTCTGACCGCTCCACCTTCTCATAGAAGGAGACTGAGCTAAGGGGCATAGAGAGTTCAGCTACCTGCCCAAGATCGTCCAACCTGTCAGAGACACAGCCGGATCTAGATTCCACTTAGGTCTCTGACAATGTCTTCTTACATTGCAAGAATTTAGTAGATTGGGGGAAAGTGAAGAAATCCTTCAGTTCAATCAATTCCTGGCCAGTCCCTTCAAGTATTCAATAAATTATAGCTATTATTAGCCTGGAGTCACTGAGTTGGAAGAAGCAAGCACAGATGATCCATGTTTAAAGCTTAATGTTTTCTGCTAGGCCATGTAGGAAAGCCAAAGTTAGAACAAATGGTAACTTTTGATATACAAGCATTCAGATTTCACACTCTGAAAGAAGCATGAACATAGAAGTGAATGTGTTCCCAATCTGTTATGCTTGCATTAAACTGTAATTGTAGTTTTGTATTACCAACGTTGTAATATAAGGTGATGGACTCATCCGTTAAAATACCAGTTATGAAACTCTGATGTTACTGGAAGGAAAGATACATTCCAAGCTGGCAGATGTAACGGGTGGGTGGGAAACACTTACAGGAGAAGCTCATGGGCTGATTTTAGAAATCTAAGATCACATTTGCTGTGAACGGATTAATGCCACAGTGTCAGTTAAGTCTTCTCAAATCCAACAGCTGCAAAAATATGAAGTCCTACTCCAAGCCTGCTTTTCCTGATGCAGCATTTTAACTTGCTAGACAGGATGCACCCGCCTGTCCTCATTTTTATTTCTCTTTTTTCTTAGCAACATTATGGGGCAGGTTGTTACACAGATGGCTTGTGATCAATTGGAGCAAATGTTAAGAACTAGAGCTACTGAAACTTAGAATGTTCTCATCAAATAGAGCCACTTGCCCCTGTCATTGGACGATCAGAGTATTGTGGAGGGCAGGGAGGGACCTCTTATTAGGTTAGGTACATTCTAATGCCTCTACTCTCTGAGTCCATGATTCATGATCAGAGAAGAAAAAATAGGAAAACCCTTTACTCTTCCAGAGTGTGATCTGGAATTGGGGAATAAAAAGAAGGCACAGGAGTCAGAAGAGTCATGCCCTTAATTCCCAAGGTTGGGGCCTGGAGAAGAGGCAGAAGGAACTAAACTCGCTTAAATGATCTGATTGTTCCTTAATTTTCTCCAGTCTACACTCCATGTGTCTCATAGTAAAGTTTAGCTTTTTACCAGGTCATCTAAAGGCACTTGCCTGTGGTGCACAGAGGAGAAAAAAGGGGGAAATGTAAAAGTGTTGGGTATATGGTGGGGGAGGCCAGACCTCAGAGGAATGGTCTTTAGTAAGCAGATCCCTCTCTGCCCGTGAAATCCGGGCCGTAGCGATGAAGCATGCTTGGGAGACGATTCAGGGCACGGAAAGTCCCACTCGGAGTTGCTAGTTTCCTTTGTTGGCCTTGGATGATCATAGAAACCCCACATGAGTAAAAGGTCATCTTAGGAAAGGCTATTTTTATTCACATCAACCGCACAGCAGGGGCTCCACCGAACTCCCTGGGACAGACACAAGACTTCTGGCTATTTTAGTCATGCAAGTTCAGCTGAAGAAAAGGTTGAAGATTTTTATTTACCTCTCCAAGAGTGTGTTCACCATTTTTTCAAAAGTCTCATCACATCTCAGAAGTGGGCTTGTGATCCCCCACTGTAGAGACTTACTGTACTCGTTCAAGCCAAAGTACAGCTTTTCCTCGCAGCTCATGTCCTCCTGATTCAAAATACAGAGCAAAACACAGTGAGGACAGGACACAATATGTCTTGATTTTTAGGGGAGGGGATCCCTGTAATAAGTTATTTCCTGGAAGGTTAAAAAAAAGTGAACAAACAAGTGGGACTACAGCAAACTAAAAAGCTTTTCACAACAAAGAAAACCATCAACAAAATAAAAAGGCAACCTATGGAATGAAAGAAAATATTTGCAAGTCATACATCTGATGAGCAAGGGGTTGATATTCAAAATATATAAAGAACTCACACAACTCAATAGTGAAAAAAACCAATCAAATTAAAAAATGAACAGAGGAATTGAATAGACATTCTTCTAAAGAAGATCTACAAATAACCAACAGGTATATGAAAAGGTGCTTAACATCACTAGTCATCAGGGAAATGCAAATCAAAACCACAATGAGATATCACCTCACACTTGCTAGAATGACAGTCATCAAAAAGACAAGAGATAACAAGTGTTGGCGAGAATGTGGAGAAAGGGACCCTTCTGCACTGCTGGTGGGAATGTAAATTAATGCAGCCACTATGGAAAACAGCATGGAGGTTCCTCAAGAAATATAAAATAGAGCTACCATCTGATCCAGCAATTCCACTTCTAGGTATATATTCAAAGGAAATGAAAACAGGATGTCAAAGTGCTATCTGCCTTCCCATCTTCACTGCAGCATCATTCACAATAGCCAAGATATGGAATCACTGAGGTGTCCATCAATGGAAGAATGAAAAACGATGTGATATATGGGGTGAGGCAAAAGTAGGTTTACAGTTGTGCATACACAAAACAGTTTATTCTAGTATTATACAATAATTAATAAATAATAGTAGAAACTCTGTTTTGTGTATGCACAACTGTAAACCTACTTTTGCCTCACCCTGTGTATATGTGTACACATACACATATATGTATATATAGGAATATTATTTAGCTATGAAAAAGAAGGACATCCTGCCATTGTAACAACATGGATGCACCCTGAGGGCATTGTGCTAAGTGAAATAAGTTAGAGAAAGACAAATAGTGCATTGTATCACCTATATGTAGAATCTTAAAAAAAAGTCAGACCCATAGAAAAAGAGTAGAATAGTGGTTGCCAGGGGCTGGGGGATGAGGAGGTATAGGGAGAGGTTGGTAAAAGGGCACAAACTTTCAGCTATAAGATAAATAAGGCCTGAGATCTAATGTATCACATGATGACTACAATTGATAACATATTGTATAACTGAAATTTGATAAAGAAGTAGAAGTTAAATGTTCTTAACAAAATATAGTGATGAATGTGTTAATTAACTAGATGGGAGGAATCCGTTCATAATATAGAACATACATCAAATCATCACAAAGTACACTTTAAACATCTTACAATTTTATTGGTAAATTATACCTCAGTAAAGCTGAAAAAAAAAATTGTTTCATTATATAACCTTATGCCAACTCTATAATAATCTCTGAGGTATAACCGAAATTTCTTTTCACATCAGGTAAACTTAGTGATTAGTGGAATGCTGACACGCTTTCTTAAGGCAGAGAGTAACTGTATAGACAGACGGTTTATTGTCTCTTTCTTTTGTTCAGACATTTTTGGAAGAATAGCATTCTTTTTTTTCTTTTTATTGATTTCAGAGAGGAAGAGAGAGGGAGAGAGAGATAGAAACATCAGTGATGAGAGAGAGTTATTGGTCATGGATCGGCTGCTGCCTCCTGCATGCCCCCCTCCTGGGATTGAAACCCCCCCAGGTGAGATTTCCCCCTTCGGGAAGCAGCTCTCTCTGATACAAATGTTATCTACAGAACTCTCTGGAGATTGACAAACTGAAAAACTCCTCCATTACAGAAAACTCTTAGAATTTAATGATGGTTAATTCCTAAAAGATTACCCTTTTAAAAAATTTATTTAAAAAGTAGAATGTATACTTTTCTGCCTCATCGAACAGAACACACAGTATTTAATCTGTCGCCCTCTGGATGACTCAGTTATCACTGTGAAAATGAACAACTATTTTTGGATATGACACACAGGTTCCCTCAAAGGACCCTGAAATGTCTGACAAGCTGCTTGTCCTTAAACTCAGTAGTCCCAGAATATTCAATAAGCTTTTTGAGTTCATGTATTTTTTTTTTAGTACAGTTTTCCTTCCCCTTTTGTACATTACCTTTCACAGTCTTCCTTTCTATGTTGCCGGTGCATTTTAGTCTCGTGTTTATTTGTTATTTATTACGTATTGACATTTTTCTTTAAACAGTCTCCAATTAATTTCATAAAGGCAATAGAGCAGCTTTAAGTGTATAAGATAAAAATAAATTGGGTGACCAGAGGAAGAAAAAGCAAGGGTAAGAGAAATAAGATTTGGCGGGGACAGAGTGAGTTTTCTCAAAAATGCATTCCAGAAGCTTTTGCACCTTTTGTTAAAAGTAGGCTACAAATTTGGTTCTGAGCTTTTGAGTACCCATCCAGAGAAACGAGCAATTGTGTGATTTATAAGGTCCATAAGATAAAAACAAAGCATTATTTAATCAGAAGCTTTTAATTTTTTGAGGTCCCCCAAACTAGGAATTGTGCTTGTTGGAACATGGTCTTATTTGAGAATAAATGTTTTATGAGAGGACCAGAGTATGTTCTTATAAATCCTGGAGCCTTAGAGCATAGACTGAGTAACATCTGTTGTTTATTTGTTTGCTTGTTTCCTTCTGTGTTCTTGGCTGTGTTCTGGATGGTTGTGTCAAACAAGTAACTTAGGATGAAAAAAACTCATTCATCTGAGTTTCCCTCCGTATCAGGACTTGGCACAGAATTAGTGGAAAAGCTCTATATTATATGAACGTGGATTTCAATTTCCTTCTCATCCCTGGTCTTGTTTCTTTGGGAAAATATAAAATCCTACTCCAAGTCCATTCCTTTTCCAGATGCAGCATTTGAACGGGCTGGACAGGATGTATTCACCTGTCCTCATTTTTATTTCTCTTTCTTTTTTCTTAGCAGAATTACAGAGCAGGTGGTTAAATGGAGGGCTTGTGATCAACTGGAGCCAGTATTGGTTTAGAGAACCAGAGCTACTAAAAAAATCAGAATGAGAAGGGCATCGTTTTCCCAATCTGTTACGTTTGCATTGAACTGTAACTGTAGTTTTGTAAGTATTATAAAAGTTGTCATAGAAGTTAATGGGACCATCCTTTAAAATGAGTTAGGAAACTCTGAATGATGTTACTCTAAAGAAACGCACGTCCCCAAATAGAAATCATACTATTTATTGAATCCTTATGTCTTTGGGGAAAATGTTCCTTCTCTTAAAAAAAAAAAATCTTCCCCTCCCCAAGTCCTGTCCCTCAGTGACCCAGCGCTGCAGCGCTCCCTGTCCTTTCCCACCGCCTCTGCTCTTCCTCCCGCCAACCACTCTGCGGCACAGACGCCGTTCCCTGGAAAGTCGCCAAGGACTCTGGAGGCCAAATCCAGCGGCCTTTACGTGTTAGTCCTTGGCCTTACCGCCCTCTTGGCAGTTGTCTTCATTATTTTCTTCCATGATTTTATCTACACGAGCTGCTTCAGTGATCATTGTTTTCTGAAAAAATATTCTAAAGCCTCATCTTAAAGCCCCAAAACAAACTTCAACTTTGTCTTTGCAGTGATGCACTCGCATCAGTCTTAGAGAGTCTCAGATCAAAATCTGTCTAATCTGCCCTCCACGATCAATCTTCCTCTTGACTTCTTTCCAACTAGTTCTCTGACTTTGCGCTCTTCCCCAGTAAGCAAATCCTAGAAAAGTTACCATGTCTTCCTTCCTTTTTTATTGTCAGGACCACTATTCTGATTCAGGTATTTGTTGATTCTAACCCGAATTACCAGAAAAGCCAGATGTCTGATCTCCCCATTTCTAATCACGTTGACTTAGCCTCTATAGTTAATGAACTACTTTAAAATGCAGCCTCTTGCCCTGGCCGGGTGGTTCAGTTGGTTGGAGCATCATCCCGTACACCAAAAGGTTGTGGGTTTGATTCCTGGTCAGGGCACATACCCAGGTTGCGGGTTCGATTCCCCAGTTGGGGGTTTGTGCAGGAGGCAACCAATCAATGTTTCTCTCTCTCTCTCCCCCTTCCTCTCTCTAGAAATATCTGAAAAAAAATTAATAAATAGAATTTTAAAAATGCAGCCTCTCAGTATCTCCTCAAGATGAACACATGTGAACCCTAAGACTCAGCAACTTCACTCCCAGGCACATGCCCAACAGAAATGCATACATGTCTACTAAAAGGCATGTGATAGCATGTCTGAAATAAATGAGTAGGATGAATAAATGAATTGTGGTAGTCACCCAGTGTAATCTATATACAACAATAAGAATGAATGTTTTATGACTCATGCAAATACAGAAGAGTCTCACAAACAATAAGAGCAAAAGAAGCCAGATACAAAAGGATGTCCACTGAATGATTCCATCTATATAAAGTTCAAAACTGGGCAAGACAAATCTATGGTGGAAGAGGCCAGGAGAGGGTTTCCCTTTCGTGGGGGAGTGGCTGACTCATGGGGTGGTGGTAATAGTCTAAAAATTATACAAAATATTGAGATATTGCCCTGGCGGGTGTAGCTCAGTTGGTTGGGCATCGTCCGGTGTACCAAGGATTGCCAGTTCAATTCCCAGTCAGGGCACATGCCCTGGTTGTGGGGCTTGGTCCCTGGTGGGGGGCATGCAGGAGGCAGCCAATCGATGTTGTGCTTGCACATCAATGTTTCTCTCTGTGTGTCCCTCTCTCTTCCTCTCTCTCTAAAAATCAATAAAAATATTAAAAAAAAAATTGACATATAACATTATATTAGTTTCAGGTGTGTAACATAATGATTTGATATTTGTATATACTGTGTTGTAAAATGATCCCCACAGTAAGTGTAGTTAACATCCATCACCACATATAGTTAACAATTTTTTTTCTTGTTGCAAGAACTTCTAAGATCTACTTTCTTAGCAACTTTCAAAGATGCAACACAACATCCTTGGGACTTGTTTATGTTATAACTGGAGGTATGTACCTTTTGATACCCTTCACCCACTTTGCCTGCCCTGCAATCCCCCTCCCTCCCCACTCCAGCAACTGCCAATCTGTTTTCTCTATGTCTTATTCTATTTTGGACAGTAGTGACTTTAATATGTACTTTGCTTTGTCCTATAAACCATGAGCTCTCTGTGTGTTTATGGAAAGATCTAACAAACCCACATGTGCTCAATAATATTTTTTTGAGTTAAATTTCTTTGCTTTTCCCAGTCATTCCTTTTTTGGGACATTGGCTTTAGGATAACTAAAGGAGGCTAACTGTTAGGAGGTTCTCTCCTAAATGTGTAAAGTTATTGTAAATTAGATTCAATGTTTTTAATCTTTTCTTCATGTTGATCTCAATTACATAGAAATGATTTTTAAAAACTTTAGAGTAAAATAACTCCCATCCCTCAATTATTTTGACCATAACCCTGGGTTTCATATCTTTAATTCATAAATATTTTACTAGATCTCTCTAAGATAAGAACCCTTTAAAAGTATAACTACAATACCATTATTATACCTAAAAATGAACCCATAATCCATAGGAGTGACTTTTAAGAAAATTCATTTGGGCCTGTTTCTCTTGTTACTTCATTCAGGAGAAGATAAAAAACAGAAGCTGAGTCCTCCTTCCTATCACTGGTGTGCTCTCTCTGGAAAACACTGAACCAACAAGGTAAATTAGGATAGTTTTCTCCCCTGCCCAACGATATACTGAAATTTAATATTTAATAGGAGAACTATTTGTTGGATTAAAAAACTATTTTCCTTTCATCAGTTCTATTGGCAATCCATTCTGTGTCAGGGCAACTTTTTGGGTAGCACATAGGTGTGCCCTACACCTTAGAGACAAAGGAACTGTGGTTGCCTCTTATGTTACCTGTAACTTGACCACCCATTCAATGGACCGAGCGTGGGTGGAGAAGAGACCAACAAAGCGAAAGCTCAAGGCAACCTGTGTGTGATAGTGAATGCAATGAGACAGTTCTCAGAAGGGAGGGACTGTTGATGCCAATGTCATTCAGTGACCTGGGCTTGCTTGACTGCAAAGAACAGACCAATACTCTAAAAGAAGGGTTCTCATATGATTTCACTCATATGTGGGATATAAAACTGAAACTTGTGGACACAAACAGCAGTGTGGTGGTTGTCAGAGGGAAGGCAGTGGGGGGGATAGAAGGTGAAGGGAGTCTTAATATATGGTGTTGGGAAAAGATATGACTTTGGGTAGTGGGCACACACAGCAATATACAGATCTTGTAACACAGAAACCCACACCTGAAACTTATATGTTCATATTAACCACTGTCACCCCAATAAATTGAATAATAAAAAAAGAAAATAAAAGAAGGGTTCTAAGTCAGGGAAAACTCACCTACTTCATAACAGAATGAAATGCACTGGGTTAACAAATAAATAGTTATTCTTATGTAAGGTATTTCTGGCACCTTTTACTTAAACATGTTTATTTTTAAATATCCAATATATCAATATTTCAAAATAAAGGATCCACTGCTTACTGGCTAATCTTTATTATTTTTCAATGAAACTCTTATTTCTTTTTGTTGATAGTATATTTAACATACAGTTTATAGGCCTTTGGGATTGAAGCCAAAAAAATATCAAGACCTGGATATGTACAATGTTGAGATGGTCTCAGATTGAAGTTAATCCGTTAAAGGCACAAAGATAATCCATAATATTGATGATGGTGTCAGATTACATCAGTTTTTGGGGGTACAAACTATATACGATGAATAATTTTGTATCTGATAACCTAAAAAAGTACTACCAAATCAAATTTATGTAGGACACTATTCTCTAGATATTAATGTTATGATAACTGTAATTATTAGAAGATAAAGAATTATGTTAGTCAGATTCTGGAAATCTTGTGCTATATTTTACAAACCCATGACCATATTTTACTACAAGACTCTGCCCCAGTGAACTAAGAACATGGCTGTGTGTTGGAGAGTAGAGCGGAGCAAAGACTCACCGTGCTGTCCAGGTGTATCCAGTGAACCTCATTGCTGGAACTGATTCGGGACTGCTGGGTCTGTAGAGTGTATGGGAAGGAGCTAACCTGGAGCACCAAGAGGTTGAAAGCTTCCAGAACTTCTCTGCAATTAATGACTCTATCAGCCAATCCATGACTAGGTTCACCGTGTGACAAAGAGCCCGAAATGACACTGTAAAAATATTGAGTCACATTAAAATATCCTAAACTGATTAGATGCAGAAGCAGACATCAAAATGGAGGCAATTTTTTAGCTCCTCCCCCCCCCCAGTTCCTTTTAATTGGGAGCAGAAGCAATAAACAATTGATTTGGTAGAGCAAATATTCAACTCCTTACCCCTTTCACAAAGGTTTTATTTCTTTTCCTTTTTCAGTTTGTCCCTGGTCTATATACCTCAACGTGTAAACTCAGTTATCCAAGCCAAGGATACTAAATCTGGAGTGGAGATGGAGCACTTTAGTTTGAAACTGCACCTGAATGAGGGAGCTTCTCCATCAAACCATGGTGCTTATCACTGTACAATTATCTGTACCCCTCAGAGAGGCCCCAAAACTTCAGGGGTCCCCGGGGTGTTAATACCATTCTCCTTCCTCCCTCAAAGTTGCTAGACCAGTGATTTTTCAACCGGTATGCTGCAAGAATTTTTAAAACATGCAATAGCTTGACTATTTAGTCAGGGGCACTAACCTCTTTTCCTTTAGATTGTCAAATTAAAAAATGACAACAGCCAACACAACAATAGCCATTCAGCGTGAACTAATCAAAATTATGCCTATTCTTTTTGTCAGATCAGCAAAAAATATATTTTTGGTGTGCCGCAGAATTTTAGTAATTAGTTTATGTGTGCCACGAGATGAAAAAGGTTGAAAATCGCTTTGCCAGGCTGTAGGGAGGGCTCCTCCTACCTACTTCCCCATGACCAACATTTTCATATCTCTGAATCATTTTCAGTTGTGTTTAATTTGGATGTACCAGGTTGCCCTGGGGAATTAAATACGGAGAGACCCAATGCATAATCCTCAGAGCTATTACCCCAATTTCAAAGACGAGGTATATAAGGTCAGTGAGCTATTTCTGCTTATAGAACACTAGCGGCAACTAAACAGGATATGGGCAAAATTTCTCTCCTTTTTCCTTCCTTCTTCCTTCCCTCCCTCCCTCCCTCTCTCTCTCTTTTTCTTTCTAGTTAATCTAACAAGTTATGCAAAATCTTACTTATACCTACAAATGGCTCTAAATTTTACATTGTGGAGTGCCAAACATATTCTGGCTTCTGAACAAGCACTTTTGCAATTCTGACATTTTTTTAGCACAGACCAAAACACTTCCAGAATCTTAATCTCATTGTGTCCTGAAGAAAAGAAAATCTGTAAACATTTAATGATATGTAGTACTCAAGAACTATCCCCTCACCTTTTAAATTACTTGCCTTATTAATCCATAGAAGCAAAGACACCCCCTGCCAGGTCATTACTGTAATTTGATCTGGGAGCAAAACTGGCTCCACGATGCCACATTTACTGTTCTCTCACTGATAAACCCACCGAGAGATAGGATCTCCTCTTGTTGAAACGGGTAAATTGTGGAAGGTCTCAGGTCTGCTCTTAGATCATTAAAGTGGCCTCTTTACCGCTGTTAATGGTAAGAGGGAAGAAAGGCAGGGGAAAAAACAAATAGCAGGAGAGGAAGGAAAAGGAGGAACGGAAAAAAGAAAACGGGAAAAGAACTGGGGAGGAGGAATGGTGGTGAGAAGGAAAGCACATGGCCCTTCTGGGAGCTCAACCTCCTCACTGCCGCATTTTCTCTAAAGCAGCCAAGTTCCACAATGCGCTTAAGCTTGTATTTTAAATAGGAGTTTGTAAATTCACCCACAATAGAGTTAAAATAAAATCAACATTAAAGTGGTAAGAAAAGTTGAAAGAGCAAGGAAAGGGCAGGAAGAAGTTGTCAATACAAAGATGCGAAGTGCTAGGGTCCCTGGGTTTTCCAATCATCACCTTTTAAATCACTTATTACATAACTATCGCAGCTGGAGAAGGCATACTGCATTTGCTCACTCTGAAGCAATCACCTCGTTAGTTCCACGTGGCAGTTATCATGAACGAGCACAAACAGTGTGTACGGGTTCTGCTTCACTCTTCTCATGAAAACTTCGAACTTGGCTTGAATCTCATTGTCTAGACGAACAACATATTTCTCTGCTCTTTGATAAGCTGCCCCATTTTCCTCCAGACCCAAGTCTACAAGGACACCTGCCAAGAAGAAAAGAGTTTGCCTTTTTACATATGTGTGTATGTGTGTGTGTGTGTGTATATATATATATATAAATGAGATCAACTTCATGTCAACTGGTACACTGGGTACTAATCACATAGAGGTTTACAGAGCAGATGATTTTCCTTTTTCATATTTCCCACCATAGTTTTGAGAAGGAAATATCAGATTTTTCTTTTCTTGAGAATACCCCACCCCACCTCCACCACCTCCCACAAATGACAACAAAACGATCTGATACATTAAATGGAAGCAGTTGACTGTAGGAGCCCTCTGTCTAATTAAATTCTATTTATATATGAGGTGCTGCTACTAATAGCTATGACAGGTCACTCAGAAAAGTGAAACTCTGGGCTACAGTTCTTGGCCAAATTAATATAATAATACAAGTTTCCTTGCCCCAAATTTAGTAACAAAACATATGTAAGAAAAAAGGAAAATAATATGCAAGGTCTAAAGACACCACAAGTAGATTATGAGGTTTTCTTTTATTTAGTATTTTACTCATTTTTATATGGAGACGAGAGACTGGCGACTCAAGCCCATGGCCCTGCGAGCAGAAGGAACCAGAAGATTGATTTGGGGTTAGATATGTCACATTTGGGGGTTAGATATAGGAAGGTTTATTTCTGGGCTTTCCGTTTCATCTCATTGATCTGTATGTCTGCTCTTATGCTAGTACTACACTGCTGTGATTACTACAGTTTTGTATTAAGTTTTGAAACGAGGAAGTGAGAGTCCTACAACTCTGTTTTCAGTATTGATTTAGGTATTCTGGGTCCCTTCAATTTCCATATGAATTTTAGGACCAGCTCGCCAATTTCTGCAAGGTAGCCAGCTGGGCTTTTTATAGGAAACACATTCAATCTGTAGATCAATTTGGGGACTTCTGCCATCTTAAAATATTAGTCTTCCAATTCATGAACATAGGATGCTTTTCCACTTATTTAGATATTCATTAATCTTTTCTCTTTTTCTTTTCTTTTTTAATCCTCACCTGAGGACATTTTTTCCATTGCTTTTCAGAGAGAGTGGAAAGGAGCAAGAGGGAGAGGGGGAGAGGGAGAGAGAGAGAGAAAGAGAGAGACACTGATGTGTGAAAGAGACACATCGATTGATTGCCACCCGCATGCACCCCACCCGGGAATGGGGATTGAGCTTGCAACTGATGTATGTGCCCTTGACTGAAATCAATCTCAAGACCCTTCAGTCCAAGGGCCAGCACTCTAACCACTGAGCCAAACCAGCTAGGGCTTTGTTATTCTTTTTCAACAATGTCTTCTGAGTGTAAATTTTACACTTCTTTTGTCAAAAATATCCCTAAATATTTTATTTTTGTTCATGCTATTATAAATGGAAATGGCTTCTTAATTACGTTTTTTTTGGATCTCTTGTACCATTTTTGTGACTTTTCTGTAAATTGAAAATAAAAAATTTTAAAAGAAGCATGACTATATCAAATATTTGCAACTAAAACACATATGTTGCTAATGGGACTGTAAATATAACTACCTTAGAAAAAAATTTAGCATTATTTAGTAAAGTTGAAAATGTACATAATCTATGTCCCAACAATCCTACTCCTAGAGAAACTCTTATATATGTGTTCGAGCAGTGTTTGAAATAGTGAAAAACTGGAAGCCACCCAAATGTCTGTCAGTAGTAACTAACATCAATATAATATTCTCTAATACACAGCTCACATTTGAGTTTCACTAACTGTGCCAGAGTTGTTTTTTATTTATTTTTAGGTCTAAGATCTAATCAATAATTAAGAACTATACTTGTTTGTCATGTTTCTTTATTCTCCATAATTAAAACAGCCTCCTACCTTTTTCTTTTTGTTTTTTCATTGCTATTTTTTTTTAATGCTGGCTGTTTTGTAGAATGCCACAGAATCGGAATTTTTCTGGGGTTGTCCTTGTGACTGGATTGAGGCTAAACATTTTTGACAATTATACCTCATACATGACATTGTGTACTTCCCCTTGCTCTTAATGTCAACCTGTCCCACAACTGGAGATGGCAAGGTTTAATTATTAGTTATGGTAGTGTCTACTGCCAGATCTCTCCACTGTAAAGATACCGTTTCCTTTTTGTAATTTAAAAAAAATATATATCTTTATTGATTTCAGAGAGAGGAAAGGAGAGGGAGAGAGAGACAGAAACATCAATGATGAGAGAGTCATTGGGGATCGAGCCTGCAACCCGGGCATGTGCCCTGACCGGGAATCGAACCTCTATCTCCCGGATGCTACCTAGGTCAATGCTCAACCGCTGAGCCATGCCCGGCCTGGCTTTTTCTGTAATTTTTAATATGGGGATGACACTCTGAGACTGTGTGAATATTTGTACCCAAATGACATTTTACCCAATGGTTTTAGTATCCATTAATAATACTAACCAGAATCAATAATTACACTGGTATTGCAAAATAGGAATTCTTGAATTCTTTTTCCTACATTTATTAGGTAGTGCTTTTTTGTAAAGAAGGGCTTATCCCTCCAACCCTCACATGTCTTGCTGCTTATTATTATTTTTTTAGTATTACTATGTACTCATGGTTTTTTAAAAATTTCAACATATTACAATCTATTGCCATCATTCCTTTTGATATTCAAAATTACCAAATTTGGCCAGTAAAATCCCCTTTGAACAGGCTGTTGTGTCCTTTTGAAATGTCCCTATCAATCTTTGAGTACTTCCTCGCTTTTTGGAACAAGATATTCCAGGCTGTTCCCACCTCAGAACTAGGACAGTCGGGAAAGGTATTTATAAACCAAGACCTAGATCCTAAATGTTCACATTAATACTGAGATGTCACTGCTTTCAAGACCTTTCTGTGGTCAGAGTTAGGAAACATTTAACTTTTTCAAGTTATGAGCTCATATCTCCAATATAAATCTAAAAGGAATATTTCTTATTCTTTCCCATTCCATATCTGAAGCTCCCTTCCTTCATGTGAAAACCCTGGTGTTCAACAACATGAACATATTTATGCATTTACTATATCCTATGAAATACACAAACAGTTTTAATCTAATTTTTTTTTTAATATATCTTTATTGATTTCAGAGAGAGGAAAGGAGAGGGAGAGAGAGAAATAGAAACATCAATGATGAGAGAGTCATTGACCGGCTGCAGCCCGCAGCCCGGGCATGTGCCCTGACCGGGAATCGAACCCTGATCACCTGGATTCTAGGTCGATGCTCAACCGCTGAGCCACGCCTGGCTGGGCAATACACAAACAGTTTTAAAATTATTAATGCCACTCCCAACATCATGATTAAAATTCAAGATTTATTTGCAATTCTTTTTGCCCTTAGAATATATCACATCAAGGTTGCACAATTAGAAAACTGTGTTCAAAAAAGTACTTGAGTTAATTATTTTCAGTGTGTGGTTATCAATTTAATATGCAGTCAGGTTCATTTAGTTCTGTTTGCATTTGATATTAAGTTTTCACTATCATTTTAATTTAATTTTGTTGAATATGTAACTCGTTTATAAGGCAAAAGTCAACACTATATAAAATGTTATACTCATCCATCACTATCTCTTCCACCCCATATAGATAAACTTTTTCATTAGTTTCTGGTTTAGTCTTCATGTTTCATTTTGTTTTTCAAAAATAAGCACAGAGGTATGGAATCTGAAAATGGTCAGAAATGCTGAGAGAAATGGCTTATCTGAGAAAGGTTGTTTTCTGTCTTCTTGATAATTTGTTTTTCAGAGTTCTATAGGATTAAATAAAAGTCTATATTCTAATATATTATGAGCAAATCTGTCACATTTTCCAACTCAATAAAAACTGGGCATCAGCAGTTTCCACCTGGGGTACTGATAGTGGCACCAAGAGGTCCAAGGCCATGTATACCTAAATACTAAATCTTATTTTTGACATGAATGGAAACTTAGGAGGCAACGTTAACTTTTCTTTTATGACATTTTGCAACTCACTGAGTTCTAGAGCCCACGGTGGTTGGGAATCACTGTGTTCCCTAAAGGTGATTAATCTGAACCGGTGGAGCTGACACAGGTGGTGCCCCAGTCATGGACATCTTCCATAGGAATAACCAACTTGAAAGGTCTCTGCAGAGAACCTTTCTTGGACAGCCAAGGACTCTAAGCAGCTCCAGTGTAGCCACTTGTACCCCTTTCTTTACTGAAGGCTATAGAATCCAGATGGGCTTCAGGAACACTTGAGCCTTAGCCTTTTATGGGATTAGAGAAAAACAATATCATGTCCTCTAAGGCCATTCCTCTAAAAACTTGAAAAGAGGAACAGCAAGGTTTCAACCATCTAAGGGCCTTGAAGGGGAACAAAAACAAGAACACACACACCAAGTCCTCAATACCTTGTGAGCACCAATATCAAAGGCCTTTCCATAAAGGTCAAAAGTCTGAATGTGTGGCCCGAACCCATCACTAGAAGGAGCTAATGAGTCTGGATATCAAGTAAAACTGATAATGATCAGAGAAATCCAAAATGTTCAGGTATCATTAAAGGTGATCCAGTATTCAACTCAATGCCCCACTACCCTGTTTATTTGGACACAACAATGTATTTTAACTTGTACATTTTTATCTCTTGATTTTTTTTTAAATAAAGAATTTAATTTCTAGTTTTTATTTCTTGTTTTTCTCATTAGGAAGGTATCCTAAAGAAAAATAAAACTGCTCTTAGTTTTAACTGTTCATCTTCTCTGAGGACTGAATTAATTTCTCCAAAGGTGTGGTATGCAAAAATATTCTAGTGCTAAAAAGGGAATGAAAATCAAGAAAATATTAAATCATTACATCATGCTAAGTTTTTCAGTATTATGATAACAGTGGCTATTCCTTCACCCTGGCAATCTCCTCTCAGCAAGTAAATAACCTGGAAATTGAAATAGCTGGTTAAAATTCTTGCTAATCACTTTCAGTGCCCATTGCATTGGCGGTCCCTTCACCTCCTGGTGGCTCAGCTGGCGCCCTC